AAAAAAGGAAGGAAATAGGGGACAGCTGGGGGGAAAACATAGAGGCAGAAATGTGCAGTAAGAGCCAAGCAAAGCACTGCTCACTGGTGCTGCAAATTGGCTGGAGAAGACCACAGCTGTAGAGTTCTGTGGTGGGATCTGAAAAGCACCAGCTGTGCTGGCTGTGGGTTGTCTCAGTACTGCAGAGTAGGAGAGGTTGAGCAACCAGAAAGGACTGTCCTCATTACACACGTGCTGATCGAGTTTGGGATTTGTTTTACTTGGAACTTCTGCTTCCAGACTTATAATTGGAAGGGTGCCCTGAAGTCCTGCTAAATAAACCATGGGCTCATTTTTCCATCAGGCTGGTTTGGTGTCAGTGAGCAGAGAGATTGGAGGTGACAGTGACAAATGGAGGTGGGCTCAGCTCAGGCAGTGCAGCCCAAGCAAAGCAGCTCCTGCAGGTGCTGCTGAGGGCAGGGCTGGGGCACCTGCTGGGAGGTGCCTGGAGTTCCTGAGGGAGGGATGGAGAGAGGTGAGGAGAGGAGATGCAGAGGAGTTCATCTCCCACATGCCACCTCACACCTGAACTCCTCTGGGGTCAGTCCTGTTCCTCTGGGATGCTCCCCAAGGAGGACACCCACACACAGCAAGGAGCCTCAGGGGAGACAGGACCCTGCTAACTCTGTGCTCTGTGGGTCAGCCAGTGCTGGACATGGAAGTGATGGGATGAGGGCAGGAAAAACCCTGGAAACTTGGCAGGAGAACCCCTGAGATGCACAGCCAACTCCAAAGCAGCAGTGGGACACTTCAGACACGGAGGCAGTTGGAGCTCTCTGACTGTAGCCTGCACATCAGCAGCCCTTTCAGCTTCCCCCCCTGCTTCCTGATCCTGAAGAGATTAATATATATTTAATCAGATTGAACAAAAACCCTTGTTCTGCTGAGCTCTGCACCCTGGATGCCACACTGAGCACCTGTGACCTCCAGCCTGCAGCACTGGCCTTTTGCTCTAAACCTACAGCCTGGAAACATCTCCACACCTTCCTTCCATCCTGCAGCCCTCACAAAGGCTGATTCCTTCCAGGGTTCCACGAGGACCCTTCCTGTAAGGCACTGGTTGCTGGAAGGAAGATGAGCTGCTTCTGTCCCCAGCACTTGCTGATGCCTGGAGGGCAGTTCAAGGCTGAGGCAAAGCCCTCAGGGGCTTTCCCAGGCAGTTCATAGCAGGTGGTTTCAGAAGTCCCTGAGCTCTGCAGCTGGGCTGGTGTTGGGTGCAGCCTTTACTTCTCAACCCAGGTCTAGATAAGGTTTGTCTAAGGGAAAAAGGGAAGTGTCTCTGCCCTGGACATGGAGACAATTGCTCTTCAGACAAGGTAACTGGTTTTGAGAGGGCTCCATCCTGCTCCTGTGCCATGACCCCCTTCCCCAGGCAGGATGGGAGCAGCTGGTTCTGGGAGGCAGAATGCACTTCCCACACTGGGATCTGCCAAACCCGAGCTCCCCAAGTGTCTGAAGGGCATCTCTCCAGAGGTTATTGCCACTTCTGCTTCCCTCAGAGAAGGCAGCTGGGGACAGCCCACCTCCCCTTCCACCCCCTCTCACTTCTGTGGACATTTTTGGTCACTGTTTTTATGCAGTGCCTGTGTTTTGGTGGTGGTTGGGTCTTTCCAGGTAAAGAAAAGCTGGAAGCTGTGCCCACAGAGTGCTCAGGTCAGAGCACATCACTCCAGCTGATCTGTAGGAGCCAGGAATGCTCCTCCAGCCCCCAGACCTCCTGTTGGTTCAGTGTTTGTTGTTGTGAGCAACAGGTAAAATGTGAGGAATCTGAGATTCCACAATATCCATCTCATCTCTGTTGGCACTTTCAATATCTCCATCACAGCAGGGCTTTTAGGGGTGTTGGAAGGAAAACTCCAGCAACATTTCCCTCTCTTTTCTCCTTGGTCACATGTGTAAGGGCAGGTTTAGGGGGTCTCA